AACTGGCGATGGTAACCAGTTTGTTGGGTGCTGTATCACAGGGGGAGGTACGGCTGTGGTAGTTGCCCTGATGGGCCGCATGTTGTTGTGTATACTAACGTATATATCATACTTGGGTATATATTGATATACGTAACTAGTGCGTCAGATAATGGCAAAACCTAAAACAACAACAAAGTATGTCAGCCAGGATGCACGTGAGCGTCTTGTCGAAGAAACCTCAAGGCTGTAAGATGTTATAGATTCAACTACTCAGAACAAGTTCCAAGTAGCACGGGCTATGGTGAGCCCGTAACTTACCTGGCACAGGAGCGGGGCTGTGTGTCTCATGTAGGGGCTGTAAGATTTGCAGTAGATTCCAGCAATTAATCATCTGTTCTAAAAGAAAAGTTCCCTTTCCCAAAGGGAAGGGAACTATCAGAAAAAAGCCCCAAGGCATTAAACCTGTATAGCAATTGGAAGGGATTAGGATAAGGATTTGGGATGGGACGGAGGGAGGGGAATGGTGCTCAGCCACTTGGACGGTCTGGGATTGAACACTGACCTGCATAATGCGAGACCGCTCTACGGTCCAGCCCATTTGGTTGAGGAGCGGGGGGGGGGGGGGGAAGGTCCTTCCACAAAGGGATCGATAGTATGTACCGGAATTTCAAACTTTTAAGATTAGTTAATTTTAAATAGAATTATCATCTGGAAAATGTTGCAATAAGTGCAGCGCTGTGACACTTGGGTGTAGCGTCACCAAACAATTGGTGACAACCAATTCGTTAATTGTGATGTCACGATTGTATAAACTTTATCATCAGCCACATTAGACTTGAAGGATGATTAAATTGTATGCTTCTACTTATGGTTTAGTTGGGTTCCACACACAACAAACAGGTTCCCTATGTACACAACTTTTAACCTTGTCTCTACTCGGTTGTAATAGAGGTACATTACAATAGGATTTAGGCGAGTGGCCAAATACTGACAGGTTAGTAGTTCAAATTGGCTATTGTGTTGTGACCATGGCTTCTCTTCATTACCAAGTCATGATCATATTTTGGGTATTTGACAAAACTACAGTACTGTATTGGCTTTACTTGCATGTTTTATGCTCTGAAAGCTTTCAGAATACTGTACTGCAATTAGGTTCCTAAAGGCTGTGAAGAGACTAATGCTTAACAGTAAAGTTGCACATAGCCTTGGGGCAACTGAAATATTTAAGAGCACGAAAAACCAGAGGTGTCCTGATCCCATCACTAGTGTTTTCCCATTGGTCTAAATCCAATTACAACCAACTAGAGGTTATTATATAATGAATTACTGTGCTGTTCATAGTCTATTTATGGTTGGATATCAAATTAAACAAGAAATATATTTATTCAGATATACTTAGGTTTAATGCAATTGTCATAGACCTATCACTATTAAAGTCGGGACCCAAGAGCTGGAACTTGTCCAACAAAAAAATGGTAGCCAAAGCACACACCCATGGCGATAAAAGTAAAATCACTGGTCTTCGGGCATCGGTGTTGAAAAAAATATTTTTTTTTTATGAATTTACCCAAGGCCCACCATCTCTTTGTCGCCTCTTTGGGAGACAGGAAGCTGGCAGCATGTCAGAAAGTCTCTGAAGACTTTTTCTAGTTGAATTCTTAAACTGAAGTTGAGAAATGTTTTGGCATTTCAAACTACAGTAGTAGACTATTCCATTGATTTATTACCCCTATAGGTAAAAAAAAGCATCTCTTATAAAAGTGCCTGCACCAGTACTAATAAAACTGCAAGATGAATGATTATGAAATATTTGCTTGCTGCTAATTTGCTGTGAATGTGCATCTTGTATAATGAAGTGAAGACTTGAGTGCATGACCCCCAAACATGATAGATTTCAACTAAGAACCTTTTAAGAAAACCACTACTCCCGCAGTATTTGAGTTAACCAGTTATGATTTTGATTGCTTAGTTTATATTTTTTTATTTTTGTAAAATATTTTTGGTAAGTAGTTTGTTTTCCAGCAGAGTTAACAAACCAATGTTGGCTCATGATTTGCACACTTAGGCCTAAAACCACATTTTCTTTGCTAATTTTTTTTATATGAAAAAAGTTATTAAAATACTTTTTTTGAACTAGCTTTTCTGAAGTAAAGTACTGTATATATGGTTATTTTTACAAAATATTTTATAACCCGTTACTCGGTAACACTTGAAATTTGCTTGCAAAAAGTGTTTGCACGTGTACGATTCCACTTACCACTCATACTGGTACAAACTTCTGAAAAAGCTAGGTTAACTAATTTTTCCCACTCAGGGGAATATTTGTTTTCCAAAAAAAAAAATGTGGTTTTAAGTGTTGAGTTTGTTTGAAGTAATAAAGTAACTGTATGTGGTTTGTTGCAAATTTCTCTTTCAGACGGGCAGAACTGATTCGTACCGGCACGCCACCGATCGAACCATCCCTGATGATAACCGAACTGTGAAAGGGGACCCCAAGGTAGCATTTCTTGAGACAGGACAGAGAAATTACTACCATATGACGCCCTTCTATTACTTTTTAAAGAATTTCTGTCAACATGTTACTTGTTAACACTGCTGCAACGCAGCCTAGTTATGATTGTCTGCTTGCATGTTATAAATTGTTTTGCATGTCATATTTATCACTAACATACATGTCACTTGTTTGAAGTGCAGTGTAAGTTAAACATGTAGCTACTGTATTGTCTGGCTTTGTTGATCTACAGTACTTTGAGTAATTTGTCATTCTTGACTAATCCATTTTCCCGTTTTATTATAGCACTATAAAGAATGCAGTGTTTATTGTTACTTAGATAAGAAAGTTGTAGAAATTAAAGAATGGGATATTATAAGCTGGACTCGCTCCAAGATTCTTATCAGTACCACTTGAAAGGCTTGATATGGTGTCCTAATCTCTTCATACAGTACATTTGCCACATACCTTTTCATGTCTACTATCTATAAACTATGAAGTTTGTAAAAGGGTCCTGCTTTTTTTTTTCCTGTCCTATCCTTCAGTATACTGTATTGAATTAGTTCCTAATTTTGTAAACCATTTCTTTCAAATAAAAAATTTGGGAGAAATTGTCTTTGTACTCTTAGGCTATATTTTAGCAAGGTCTAAAGTTTGATGTTCACTCATAAATTTGTAGAAAAGAAAACCTCAAATGAAAAGATAGACATTATAGTTACATTGCTATAATTCTCTTCAATAGCAAATCAAAATACTGTATCAAATACAGTAGTAGTATTTAAGTAGAACTTTAGTTTCTAATGTGGATTTTTTTTTTAGTGACGTATAAGACTCCTTTTGATTTAGTACAGTGTGTACTGTATTAAAAATTAAAGGCCAACTTTATTATTGGGTATACAGTACCTGATTATACAGTGAGTACATTTCATAGAAATATGATGAATGACAGTTATACTGAACTGTGTGTACTGTACAGTATTTTCTCGAATGCTGGAAGATCATTGCTTTCATACTAAATGAAGAGTGTGTAGTCACACAATTTTTAATGTTTTAAAGTTGCATAATTTTTCAACATAGACTTTTAATGCTAAGTTTCATAGGCCAATTATTTCCATTAGTGAGAGTTTTTTGACTGCAGTTTTATATTGTTTAAATGAGCACTAAAGTGAACACATTCTTATTTTCTTGATCTTTGTAGGCTACCTTTCTTTCCTTAGTTTCTGAACTGTATTAGCATCTACAGTTTGGGAATAGTGTGTTGTGCTCTACCTTTTTTTAACTTTTAAATCTACTTTAAGGAAGATTTATGAAACTAAATTTAATACATATTTGTTAAGATTGAAAGCCTTGAGGCCAGTGCTGCTGCAAATAAAGATTAAAGTGCTTCATGTGCATTTGAAGGAATTTGTGGTACTGTATTTTTATTAATTTTGAAACTAAACAAAAGGCAATGAGTTTAGTGTTAAAAGATCGTCAGTTGATATAAATTGTCATCCACACTTCCGTGGAAATACAGTCCATTCATCTGGGCTCTAGGAGACTTGAACCACGGACCCCATGAGTGAGGGTGAAGCTCTACCTTTGCCACAGTGTAGAGTACAGCAGTGCTAGTTATATATTACACTAATCTTAAGTGTAGTAATACCTGTTAGTGACAAATCTTGCATGTTCATTGTATTCAGTCACTTTCCCTTTTTTATGGCTTTATTATTTTTTTCTTCTTAAATTTTGACCCATTTTATAATTGAATTAAACAACAAATGTAGTACAGCATAATGAAAAATAGGTTCGTCATTCACTTATGAGAGGTAATTCACAAAGCACAGTGCTTTTAACTGTTCATTTTTATGTAAACGAGACTGTACCGAGTTTATAATGCTTTATAGTCTTAAAGTCAACACCCTTGAATGATAGAAAGCTAAATTTCATAGTAACATTTATACAAGTACAGTAGTGCTTTCATGATAGTAAAACAAATTTCTTGAAAACAACAAATTAGCATTTCATGAGTAAAAAGTCATATTTTCTGATCATTATAGGGTTACACATTTGAAAAATCATGCTTGGATATACTGTAGTTATGGCTTGATGCTATTATTTTAACCTAATATCTGGTATTCAATACTGCATAACCATGGTTAAACAAAATAAAATGGCTTGTACAGAAAATTAGAAAGGTATTTTTCATAAAAAAGATGTAATACAGTTTAGCAACAGTTCAGTGTAAAGTCTGCCAATTCCCAATGAGAGATACATTGTAAATTACACTTTAAACAATACTATGTCAAGTAATTGTGCACTGACTGCCATCATAACAGTACTGTAGATATACTGTTGCATGTTAGGCCATGCAAGTACTGTAGTTCTATTCGATTGGAAGTACTTATTAGCCTAGGGTACATTTTCATACGTGTACTATATAGAAACATGTATTGAAAAATTGTAGTCAGCAACAGTAAAAGGTCTGTGCAATGTTTATAGTTACAATAACGGGATTCGGTAAATTCTGAAGGTAAATAGGAAAGTGAATGCTAATACGTTACACAATGCCGTATTACTGGTGGTGGTTTATTCAAATACTTAAGGTTATTTTGTTCTCCCTCACAAGAGCCTAATATGTTCACCTTTTTTCTCCCATGTGTTCACAGACCTACTGTACATGTAATATTTATAGTGCTACTAGACAAAATATAAAGACAGATTTACTTTTAAGATTACAGAAATTTTCCAAAAAGGTTCATATAATATGGGCATTCTGTAGTACAAAGCTGTGATTTGCTACTACTGTACAGTACTTATAATAGTTAATTTTTATCTTCAATGAAAGGGCAATAATCGAAGAACTGCACAGTAATCCTACTGTTGTCGTGCATAAATGACTCTGAAATAAATTGGATAAAACTATACCTGAACTGTTAAGTGGATAAGCACAATCTTCCTCTCCTCTTGTAATAATACTTGTACAGTAGTACAGTATATGGAAGTAGTGAAGGATATTTACTCGAGTTAGGCTTTGGGGAATAGAACAATTCCCAGAACCCTATCAAGCAGGTATCTACCCACGATCCTTTGTTGGGCGTCTGCCACATCTATCGACTCTTACAAGCTGGTTGTAATTTCTTCATAATTTCAGGTTTTGATGTTCCTCTTATTTTTTTCTTTAAATTTATTGCTTTTGTTTTTTGTAATTTGTTTTATTTGTGGCCCACTATATCTGGTACAGTATGTGAGCTGTGTGTGTTGCAGAGTGCCAAACCTAAGAGCAAGTGTGCAAGTGTCACAATTTACTCTTCAACTGCACTATGCAATGAAAATACCAAGTGTTAAAAAGCTTCGCATTTTCCCATTAGCTAAACTGCAAATTTGAAGGCCGTTGGCAGTGTTTTATGCTTTCGTCACTGGATTTGAAGTGTTTGTCGGATCAAAAGTATCGGAGCTTTATTTTATAAAAATAAAAATGTACAGTATATACATTACAAAAAAAAAAACTGGTGAACCAAATCAACCTTCTAAAATACAATATACAAATTTATACTGTCATGTATGATTCACTGGGTATTTGGCTTTTTTGTTAAAGGTGATGGGTTTGTGCATGTTAAAAATATCTTGGTAGGACTTTTGAATGGCTGTGAATGTGTTAAAAGCTGAATGTTTACAATGATTCTCTACTCTTTACTACTGCAGTACTGTGTACTATTTATGACAAGACTTTGTAATGACTTTAGATTCTTCATTATACATTTATGGAATATGTAAATCTGTTACCTACAATCTTTCAGAAATCCTGTCTTCCTATATTTTATTGTTTTAGATATTTTGTCACCATATTTAAGATAAGTAAAATATTAATTTGACATCGATAGTTTAAGCACCATTAAATGTAACATACAGCACCACTTGCCACTCTAATAATAAAAAAATCTAGAACCTAGCCAAGGATGTTTTAGAATCTAGTATTTAGAATATTTAAACTAGTTTAATACTGAGATTATTAATTTAATAATAAGTGGAATAAGGAATTCATTGAATTTTATGAAACAGTGTGTTTAGAGGTCTGTTAATGTATTGATAAAGCCATCTTTTTCTTTGAGGATGGCCCACAAGTGTGGGAAGTGTTACTGCTGAGGTGGATATAGAGGAATTATACAATAAAAATGAATTGGAAATAACTTTAAAGTGCACACTGTGTAAAGGTTAAATTAATTAAATAGCTCAGAATTAGTTTGATGTATAAAGGTAGTGTCAGGCATTTCTGTTTTTTTGTTCATTACAGTATGGTACTTTGCACTACAATGCAACTAATGTAACCTGTTAATTCTTTGTACCTGATAAGTCATTATCTTTTGCAGTCAAAAAAGAAAATGCCTAAGCCAAAGCCAAAGAAGGGGGAGAAGGATATGGATAATCTGAAGCAGGAGTTGGAACTTGATGAGCACAAGGTCCCCATTGAAGAACTCTACCAGCGACTTAGTGTGAACCCTGATACAGTAAGCATCATTCAGTTTTTCCTTTGTAACCAGCAGTACTGTATTAGTACATTTTGGAGAAAGGACACGTCCACCCCAAGTTTTTGTCTGTTCCCTTCTCCCTTAAAATTTTCCCTTTTAATACTAATGTGGGTACTTTTCTGTACAGTACCATAATGTATTTGCCACCAGGTTTTAAATATATAATACAGTAGTAGCGGTAGATATGTTTATTTTTAAATGTACGGTTGTTGACATTTAGTATTTCTTTAAATATAGGCCTAAAGTAATTAATTTTATCTAATAAAGGGCTTACCTGTCTTACATTTCATTCCACAGTCACATAGGTATCTCTTTATGCCTCTCTTTCTAGCCATTCGAACCTGATATGCTAATTGTCTCGACGTTAAGGTTTTCATCATATTTTTCTTAAATTTGTGGATGAATTGGCTTGTACTTTTTCCTTCAATGCATTTCACTTGCTGACCACTTATATAGGGAATGAGAACTTCCTTGCATCTCTTTTTAAGACTATTGTGTATCCAGCTTCCAATAAAGCCCCCCCCCCCTTGTCCTATCTTCTTTTGATTTAAATATACTTCCTTTGTCTACTTTGTCTATTCCTCTCAGGATCTTGTATGTAGTGATAATATCTCCCTCCTGTTACTTATACTCTATGGTTGTGAGGGCAAGTTCCCTCAGCCTGTCCTCATAGCAGAGTGCTCTCAATATAAATCCAGTCACAAACCTTTGAACATTCTAGAGGTTTTTTCTGTGCTTCACAAGGTGTGGGTTCTATACTGGTGCTGCATACTCGAGTAATGGTCTTGCATAGGCAATGTGTACGGGATTTTGGTGTTAGTTTTGGGATTTTGTATACTCTTTGGTCTCTCTTATCGTTTCTTGATAGCCTTCTTCTTGAGGTATAAATATAGGTCTCCTATCTCCCTTACCCATTTTCATTACTTTACACTTATTGGGATTGAATTCGAGGAGGCATTTATTGGTCCACTCCTGAAGTTTGTAAAGATCATCTTAAAAGCATACTCTTCAGCTCTTACTCGTTAACTTTGTATCATCCGCAGACATCGATGAGCTCATTCTTATAATGTAGTTGGTTGACAATTGACCCTGCTGTCTTTAACTCTGTGTAATGACTCTTGGACCCACTGGGTCCAAGAGTCAGTGGGTCCATAACTTATGGGTTTATAACACTTAGGTCAGTGGGTTTATAACTAGGAGTTGTAAAACAGTTATAAACAATGTTACTGTTTATAACTGTGCATTAACTATTTCCCTTATACTGTACTTAGTTTTACAATGGTGTAGCCACTTGTACCCTGAAACCACTTGGACACCTTAAAGTTTATGTTGACACTTGTGGAACTAGTTATTGGTGAGAAAATAAGTCATGAGGAGGATTTGAACCTGTGCCCTAGATACTCCCAAACACATGCCTTAAACTGATACATCACATTAATGTGATTTCTTTGTGCATTAGTTACTGGTATTAGCCAGTGTGGCAGTAGGCTGTATGTAGGATGTGATGTTCAGACTTTAATGCTTGATAATGCCTGTCAGGGACACTGAATCGCCTCCCCTCCTTACTTTGTTCCAATGACCAGTTGGCTTACCTGCACTATACTCTTAACAATGTATTAAATACATGACAATTTTAATGGGACTAGGGCCTTACTAAAGTAGCCCCTCCCCTCCCCTTAACAACACATTGTTGTTACACTACCTCTGGGAGATCATTTACATAAATTAGAGAGCAATGCTCAAAGGACAGCTCTGTGGAACAGCCCTTTGCACTCCTCTCCAGCCTGATATATCCCCTGATTATGACATCATGTTTCCTGTCAGGTACTCCTGTACCCAATCCAGTGTCTTTCCTGTTATCCCTGCTTGTCTCTCCATCTTGTGTCTTTTATGAGGGGACTGTCAAAATCTTTCTGGCAGTTAAAGAAGATGTAGTATACTTATCCTACTCTTGTTTTGATGAGCTGTCATAAAATTGAATGATTTAACCATGATTTTCTCCCCTCTGAGGGTAGTGTTGTGCCTGTTATGTAATTTATTCTACCTTAATGTTCTACAGTAATTCAGATTTTTCCAGTATTTTCCCATTTAATGCATATCAATGACTGGTTTAGTTTAGTGCTTCATGGCTGTCACTATTCTTGAAAATTAAAACTATTACATGTTGCTTTTTCCAGATTTTCGGTAGCTCTCCTGTCTTTAGCGTAATGTTAAACATTTCAGTTGCAGCTTCCTTCAATAACCATGGTGATATCTGGTCTGGTCCTACTGCTTTTGTTACATTAAATTTTTCAAGGTGTCCATTTTCGCTTAATGTTTATGGCCATGTGTTGTCATCTTCCTAAGAACTGCCAAATAATGCAGAGACTAACAGTCAAACAAAGTAAAGTCCAAGCACAGTGAAAAGATGTGTATCTCAGGGCACAGTCCCCCTGTACCACTGCTTTTCACAATGCTCATACTATTCAAATCACTTGTGCTGTCACCAGTGACGTATCTAGGATATGCCAAGTATGGCACATGCCTTGGGAACCACTTGGGGCGCTTGCTGTAGGTGCCTAAATAAGAAAGAAATGAGTAGCATTTAGTGGCCAGCCAGGGGGGGTGCTTAGGGCCTGTGTAGGAATATCACAAAAAACAAAAATCTGGGCATTAATCTGGTTCTGGTTTATAGACATGGAACCTCTTGTCGAGTTCTTCACACACTTTTTTGTCATTCTCCAAGAGTTTTCCTTCCTGTCCCTGCTATCTGATCACATGGTCTTGTACTGTTTGCTTTCATACATGGCTATGCAATAGCTTAGGTTGGCTGTCTGACTTTGCCACAATTTCCTTTTCAAAACTGCTGCCCTCCTTATTCTGGTGTTAATTTTGTATCCCCTTAAGTCCCCCCCGTCCTTCCCCATAATTGTCTCTGGTCCCATGTTCCCATGTTCCTTTACTATTTCCTTGTCTTTTCTCATCTTGTGCTGTTCTTTTGTCCACCTCCCTCCTGAGAGGTATGAACCATTTGCTGCTTTTAATTTTTGCGTTTTGAGTTCCATCGTCTCTTGCTGACTTCTTATACTCCTTATATTTCAGTCTTCCACTGAACATCCTGCAGATAAGCCCCAACCTTCTTGTCCTCTTCTAGATTTTCTCATGCTCTTTATCCTGTTTGACTTTGTTCTACAATGTAATTGAACATGCTAATGCAGCGGTCACTGGCTCCTAGTGGTAGCTTATTTTACGCTCTCTGCATCTTAATTTTTTTTTTTGGTAAACGGCAGGGTTAGTTGTAGCTGGTAGATCATCTCTGTAAAAGAGACAATGCAGGTGTTAGATTGAGTTTGACTAGAGAGCAATGAAAAATCAACTGATCATAATAGTCCCAACAAAGTACATGTACATCCTACATGTATGCTCATTGTATACATGTAGGATGCAGAATATTAGACATTTGTGAATAATAGTAGGAATGTAAATATTATGCTAATAATGAAAATGTAAATATAATATTAGCAGAAATGAAACATTTTATTATTGTACAAAAATAGAACTAAATAGTTACTCGATAGAAAAGACACTACAGATCCTAATTCTTCATTCATACAGAATGTGTATAGTATTTATAATTACAATTAGACCTACTTAAGTCAGATGAGTCTACAGTAATTTTTTTTTTTTACCAACAGACATTTTATTTTATCACATTAAAAAAGTAAATTGATACAATTCTTATAAAACTGACATTCTTAGTTTAGTTTTGCACAGTAGGATGAGAAAATTGTAGTTTAACTTTACACAGTTTTGAATATTCTTTATTTATAGATAAATTATATACTTTATTCATATCTATTTACTGTAATTTTATTTTCTACATTTAGACTACCATTGTGTGCTATTGTATCACATTCTTAATCACGTTATGATATACTGTATTATGTTTCAAGCAGTAGAACAGTTAGTCTTTATATTTTCTTTTCTGTCCTTTCGTTGCCCAACCACTTGGGGCTGGATGGTAGAGCGATGGTCTCGCTTCATGCGGGTCGGCATTCAATCCCCGACCGTCCAAGTGGTTGGGCACCATTCCTTCCCCTGTCCCATCTCAAATCCTTATCCTGACACCTTCCAGATGCTATATAGTCGTAATGGCTTGACGCTTTCCCCTTTCCCCTGTCCTTTAAAGAATTGGTGTTGGAAAGCAAGTGGGAATTGGTGAACCTAATTAATCTCTATTCCATTCATTATTTCATGGTGTAATAAGTGGTTATTTCTTAATGGTAGCCAAGGCAGCATGTGGCATTGGAAAAAGTTTGCATGCTCATTTCAGTAGGTTATTGGCAAATCATAATTTTTGTTTTATATTTTTCTAGGGTCTAACACAGGCAGAGGCTCTCAGGCGCATTGAACGAGATGGTCCAAATGCCCTCACTCCACCTAAACAGACTCCCGAGTGGGTTAAATTTTGCAAGAACCTGTTTGGTGGTTTCTCACTCCTCTTGTGGATTGGTGCCATCCTTTGCTTCATTGCTTACTCCATTGAGGCAGCTTCAGAGGAAGAACCCAACAATGATAATGTAAGCTTTTGTAAATTTCTACCAGGATAATTTCACCTGTATGTACAGTATGTGTTTAATTCTCAATGAATTAGATGAATTAATCTTCCACAAATTTAGTGCAAATTAATGTTACCCAATCTGTCATCCAGAAGTTTAAACTTGTGTTTAACTGATCAGCCATATTTCATATCCAAAAGTTCTAGGTAAATCCAATTGTACACTATACCTGTATTAGTTAAATATTAATTTTGCTTGGCTAGTGGGAGGCACACAATAAAACGTGTCTGTAGGTTCTATCTTTACATTTGTATAATTTACTTGATAGATTACCCAGTAAAGAAATCTCATTCATGCTGCCAGTGCAAATGTTTTTCAAACCAATAAAATAATTAGATATGTAGGGAATCATGTTTAACATAAGATATAGGTCAAAATAGGCTTGGTGCATGTGAAAACTGCATTTCTGAGTAACTTGGTTGCCGCTATAGTAAAATTCCTTTGTCAAGAGGGTGTGTGTCATACAGTAACATGGGACAACATTTAAGGCACCAATGCCACAGGAAACTTTCCTAATGTCTCTACAGGGCCATACTGGTCCTAAGGAGTACTGGAAGACATACCCTGATAAAGAGAGTTTTGGAAAATGCAGGTTTTGCAAATTGGAAAAGAACTGCATTGGCCCAGGACCTCAGGGGTTAATTATAATTGATAAGTAATTAAGATTAATTCTTTTACTAACATATTAATGAAATGCTTGTTGATGATTTTAATGGCATTGATTTCTCTTGGCAGAACAATCCTTGGGATGAAAGCGGCTGCAGCAACATTGCTTAGCTCCCCAGATATTTGTATTTTTCTTGATGCATTTAATCCTCAAATGTTAATCCTCAAACATTAATCCTCAAACATTAATCCTCAAGTGGGTGACCACGTACAGTGTCTTTCTCAGGCTATTCAATTAGTGCTGGTACAAGATGGCACCCTCGTATTTGTTGAAATACTGTCTTAAAATTTCCACATTTGTATTGAAAATTAAGAATTTGTAGAAAGATTTAGAATAGAAAACATAGCACAGGGTGTCCTCGCTTGAATAAACTACATGGGGCAATGCCGATTCATTACATAATGGATTTTGTTTGACCCATCAGGCCCCTTGGCAACCTCCTCCAACCCCAGAAATAAAAAATCAATAGGCCTACATCCACTATAATGCATAGAAAAACATTACTTACCCTACCAGTAGAGTACAATATTGATATATCTAAAGAGTGAAGTACATTTAGGCAAATACAAATTCATCATAACCCATCTTCACATCTACATTAAACAAAAAAAATTACAAAATGAGTAATATATCTTCGTCATTCTGAATAGATCATTTAATACAGCAGTTATTGCAAACAATTCAGTGTCATAACTATGACAATTATTGGTCATTACGTAATGACCAGGATTTACAAAAATTCGACGAGTCTATATATAAATACTGGGTATTAACAATCATTTATTATGCATTCATCATTTTGACTATGGCATATGATAGAGCAAACAATTTGGTATCAAAATTATATATATAAATGATCATTTTTGTAACCAAACATGTAATATGATCGAATTTTCCCTTCAAGCACGGAAGTTTGTTTCCCATGTCAGCGCAGTGATATACCATCTGTTCTTTCTCATCTACTATTCAGTACTAATAATCCTTACTTTCATTATATTACATTCACCTCCTTTACCATTCATTCATTCATATTGTATTTCAATACTCACATGTAACACTCCAAAGTATTTAAAACTTGTAGTAATATCTCTTTCAATATTGCCTCTCATTTTTATCTTGCACTTGTAATCATGTTGTGCCACTCTGCAAGGTTGTATAAAATCTGCTGTGTACCATTCTTTTCTTACAAATGCCATAATCTTGCCTAGTCCTACACTGAGCTTAAACTTCTGGTTTCACTTTAGTCTTTTACAATTCATCTTTATTCTCCTGTTCAAGGTGTTTTTGCCTACTTCTTTTGCTCATACATATTAATACTGTATATTAGAGTTAACAATCATTATCCTGTCTCCTGCACACCAACAATAAAATTCCGTAATTTTTTCCTTTAGTCTTGCCTGCTCTGCTATACATATAAAAATTTCATTCTTATTGAACCTGGGGTCAGATTCACGAAGCAGTTACGCAAGCACTTACGAACCTGTACGTCTTTTCTCAATCTTTGGCGGCTTTGTTTCCAATTATTAAACAGTTAATGAGATCCGAAGCACCAGGAGGCTGTTTATAACAATAATGACAGTTGATTGGGAAGTTTTCATACTTGTAAACTATTTAATAAATGTAACCAAAGCAGTCATAGATTGAGGAAAGATGTACACGTTCGTAAGTACTTTTGTAAGTGCTTCGTGAATCTGGCTCCTGCTTCTTGATCAATTCAATTGTAAACTTTTTCTAACATAAAACGGCATCTTGCAACTTTTGCTCTTGTTGGAAACTTGTCAACAAATCTCAAAGTAAATATTTGTGTGGACACCCAAACCCTTCCTAAACTCACTGTTACTTTGATTTGTTTATCTTGCTCTAAAGTTTCACCCTTGCATTCACTTTTCCTGCTTACTAAGTAAACTAATTTTCATACATGTCCTGCATTCTAACCTACTGCTCTTGTGCTTATATATATATATATATATATATATATATATATATATATATATATATATATATATATATATATATATATATATATATATATATGTCGTACCTAGTAGCCAGAACTCACTTCTCAGCCTACTATTCAAGGCCCGATTTGCCTAATAAGCCAAGTTTTCCTGAATTAATATATTTACTATAATTTTTTTCTTATGAAATGATAAAGCAACCCTTTTCTCTATGTATGAGGTCAATTTTTTTTTATTGGAGTTAAAATTAACGTAGATATATGACCGAACCTAACCAACCCTACCTAACCTAACCTAACCTATATTTATAGGTAAGGTTAGGTTAGGTAGCCAAAAAAAGCTAGGTTAGGTTAGGTTAGGTAGACGAAAAAACATTAATTCATGAAAACTTGGCTTATTAGGCAAATCGGGCCTTGAATAGTAGGCTGAGAAGTGCGTTCTGGCTATTAGGTACGACATATATATATATATATATATATATATATATATATATATATATATATATATATATATGTCGTACCTAGTAGCCAGAACTCACTTCTCAGCCTACTATGCAAGGCCAAATTTGCCTAGTAAGCCAAGTTTTCATGAATTGTTTTTCGACTACCTAACCTACCTAACCTAACCTAACCTAACTTTTTCGGCTACCTAACCTAACCTAATCTATAAAGATAGGTTAGGTTAGGTTAGGTAGGGTTGGTTAGGTTTGGTCATATATCTACGTTAATTTTAACTCCAATAAAAAAAAATTGACATCATACATAATGAAATGGGTAGTTTTATCATTTCATAAGAAAAAAATTAGAGAAAATATATTAATTGAGAAAAACTTGGCTTATTAGGCAAATTTGGGCTTGCATATTAGGATGAGAAGTGCGTTCTGGCTACTAGGTACGACATATATATATATATATATATATATATATATATATATATATATATATATATATATATATATATATTTATATATATATTTATATTTATATTTATATTTATATTTATATTTATATTTATATTTATTTTGATATTGATATTGATATTGGCACCACAATGGGCCCTTCACACTTGCTTATCAAGTTCTCTTCTCCACTACCCCAAGTTTTCTACCTACCCTCTGATTACAGTATTCTTAATATGGTCTTGACCAGTCTTTCATTCTTCCATCATTCATTCATTTAATATGCCTAAGCCACCTCGGTACACTCTCCTCTGGCAGTTTATTTACCATTACACACTATATTCCTTCTCTATTTCATCTAGTTAAATTGCACAAATTCCACTATAATTTCCAGGTACTAGTGCTTAGATTGATAAAAAATCTTCAGCACTTTCATTCACATTTATTTCACACAGATTTTTCTAAACGTGATACAAATCTGAAACAACTGAATTTCTTTAAATGACCAAATATTAACATGGCTGCATTATTTATCATGGACTGGGTAATATTTTGCAGTTGTACCTAGGAGTAGTGCTGACATCTGTGGTGATTATCACTGGCATCTTCTCCTACTACCAGGAGGCAAAGTCCTCAGCTATCATGGAGTCGTTTAAGAACTTGGTTCCTCAGGTAATTTTTTTTGTAACGCCTAATGACTAGGTATTCTGGCACCAAATTGGAAGGACTGCTTACCATGCTTGGTAACATTTTTACAGACGCTTCATTTTGTGTCCGATGCTCTTTTAGAATGTCTTGGCAAAGGAAACAGCCTTGAAGTCTCCAGGAAGTCGAATATTTAACAGGTAGTCAATTTGAATTCAACTACAGTTTAGTACAGTTTACAAATAGCTTGGGAGAGTGGGCCTTTTTTATGGTCAGATTTAGCATTAGAAATTAAATACAGAATTTTTAATGGTGAAATGTGCAACCAGTTTGGGGGGACACGTTCTGCTTCATATGTAAGTACAGTATACTGCATTTTTATTTTTTTAATACTCTTGCTTTCTAGCTCAACCAAGACTGAGCAACGCTTTGCATTTTAAGTCGGAGATTCTGGCGTGTTTGGAGACGCGCGTATATATATTATGTACTGTACAAACATGAAGGTCGGAGTAGAGTTTTAAAGGGAATATACTGATTGGCATGAGTTGTTTACAGTTGTACCTGGGTATTGTACTCACAGCTGTCGTGATCATCACAGGAATCTTCTCATATTATCAAGAAAACAAGAGTTCCCGTATCATGGAATCCTTTAAAAACATGGTTCCCCAGGTGAATACTAGTAATGTATTTTTTAAACCTACTAAAAATATATATTTCGTTGTACATATGCTGTATATGTATAATCTAGTTTATATGTAATAACAATATCCAACTAGCAATTTTCTGTTGAACAGAAAGGTGGCACTTAGTCTTGACAATTATGACTCCTCTTTAGTCAGTTCATCAGTCATACATGTTGTTCCAATCACTTGAAATACTTTGTCAATGTCATGTTTTAATTTGTTCATATACAATTATGGTTATTCTACATCATCAAAACAAGTTTCTTTATATTGTGGACTTACATTGAAGAAAACTGAATACGCAACACTAGATACTAAATATTTTGGAAGATTTCCTCTTCAATAACAATATACACTGAAATGGGTAACGCCTCCTGTGGTTCCTGTTCCCCTTCACCTCCCTAATTGTGTACGGTTGTCTCGCTTACAAAATGCTCTTTCGGTTCGTGTTGCCAATATTTCCTCTCGTGTCGTTCCGTCTTTGCCCCAGTGGAGGGTCCCCCTTCCTAAATTTTGGAAAACCTTGACCCACGTAACTAAAGTCTTTACCCCCTCCTACAGTTCTGAAACGCCATTTCCTTGAACACTTTTCTTCACACTCCCGCTCCATTTCCATCCTCACCGATGGGTCTAAGTCTGCAGACGGTGTAGGCTACTGGTTTTTCCTGACCACCCGTGTGTCGCTTGCCTCCGGAGACAAGCATCTTCACGGCAGAACTTTATGCAATTCTCTATGCTCTTCAACTGCTTTTTCGCTGTTAATCCTCCTTTGTTGTTGTAGTTGACTCTCACAGTGTCCCCATGGCTCTGGAGTCCATCCTGTGGTAGTCGAAATTCAACATTGGCCATTTCTAATCTCCAGTAGATTTAAGACGGAGTTTTGTTGGGTTCCTAGATATATTGGTGTCCTTAATTGAGCGTGTGGACGCTGTTGCTAAAAAAAAGCTATCCGCATCTGTCCCATCTCCTGTAAAGGTATTCCTTATTCTGATTTTTGTCCAGTTATTCATTCCACCATTCTTGCCCGTTGGCAGGGTCGTTGGTCTTCAGTTACTGGTAACAAACTGCGTGCTCTTAAGAGTAGTGTCCCCCCATGGCCTTCGTCCTACCACCGTAACTGGCAGTGGGAAATGACTGGCGATTGCTACGTATTGGCCATGCACGTCTAATACAGACACACTTAATGGAGCGCTGCCCTTGCTTCTTACTGTCCAAACTGCATTGTCCCTCTTATGGTCGTACATATCCTTGTTGAATGTCCAGACTTCCAGCACGTATGTCCCTCTCTTGCTTCCTGACTGTCTCTCGCTGTCACTTGTCCCTTGATAGAATTCTTGGCGAATTGTATACCATTGATATCATTCACCTTGTGCATTTTTGTTCTAGTATTGGCATCCTTAGTGCTATTTAGCGCCCTATGATTATTCTGCACATTTGATGGTGCTACATAGACTTCCCGGCTTGGTGCCTTCTTTTGATAATGTACTTACTGAAATAGGTACCTATTGATCCGACAGATTTTCATCGAGTGTCATTTTATAAAGCTTTGTATAGCTTCCATTCATCCATCTTGTTCATGCCTTGTACACATGCCACCTGACCACCAGGAAATATGCAGTTGGATTTGAAATTTTCATTAGATTGATGGCTAGCAATTGTCATTGTTCCTGTGCATGCTTGTGTGTTGGGATACATTACAACAACTATTAATAGTTAATACTCATTTATTATTTAAGGCAATTACTTGGATTGCATTTGTAACTATTAATATCTTTTCATTTATGTCTTGTCCTAAATGTTATTTTATTAGCGACGAAAGTGTCCTAATAAATATGGTGTGGAGATATTCTCCTAGTGTGCTTTCCATGTGGGATATGCATGGGTTTCCTGAAGTAAAAAGATGCACTGCATAATATGAATTGATTTAAATTGTAAGAGTATTCATGGACAAGTCTATTATGAAATTGGATTTAGTAATTTTTTAGAGCTTGCCTATTTCTTCTTTTGCTGGGTATTTTCCATAAACATTTAACATATAAACAGTTATTTGGATAGACATTAAAATTTCTCCATTGGGGGCTTCAATATTGTTACTATATTGTTTTATAACCTGGGGACAGCTTGTAATAAAATGCTACACTGTAAATCAGGTTTTAAGTACATGTGGAATGAACATTTTTAAGCAGTGCAGTTAGTTGCTCCCATAAGGCAAGATTCTACAAAACCTAATGGTTTTATCTTTGTTAATGGGAGGTCACCATTTACACAGTAGCCCTTTTGAGTCATACTGGTTCCCAGGTAATGGGAGAATACATTCCTGTCCAAAATGCATCCAGATTTTTTTTTTTCCCCTAAAATGTGATGTTTTCCAAATATCTCTTGACATCAGTGTTCTGAGCAGCATCCTCACTTACAAGTGAATGTCTCACAAGGTAATCCCTGACTGCTACCAGGTGGCAGTACAAACACAACAGTGTCTCAAGAGTTGTGAACAAATGAAACTAAGGAATGAAGTGATGATGGTAGACTTCGTACAGTTTCTGCTACAAATATGGCAGATCCCAATAGCCTCTGGATGTTGTACACTTGTAGGCAAGACCCAAGAACTGAAGTTGGACCTCGGCTACACTTTGTACCCGACACTTGAAGGAAAGAAACCCCACCACCAAGAATTAGGGTAAACAGAAAATGAGGAAACGGCCTGCAGGAATGCTTTTTAATTTGCACTATATAGCCTGATTTATATCCCACCCTTGCTCTAAGGTAGGCATTTGTGAAAGCTACAAAAAAAAAAAAGCACACTTAGGCTGCAATGTTTTTAACAGAAGCTACAGGAAAAGCATCAGCCGAAGAGTTATCAAACTTGCATCCAAGCACTTGAATCTCGGCAAAAAAAACCTTGATATCAGCCCAGGACATTGGAGGGAAGAGTGATTTCAACATGGCAAATATTATTCACCAGAAAATAAGCCAGTGGTGAAAGCAGATACTAGTGCAGGGGACACTGTCAGATACAAGACAAGATTGACTTCAGGATGGGCAAGCAAAGGAACTACAATATGGTCTTTCCATAATGTACTAATCTCAGTCTTGGTTTAAAGACTTTTTAAGATGAACATGCACAAAGCCTCCCTACAAACAAGTGTGCACGCCAAGAGAACTTTTGGCGTGCTGTTTGTATTTATTTATTCTCAATTGCCTGTAGCTAGTCTAGTGAAAAGTCTTGAAATCAGTTTTCAAAAGGAGAATCCTGGAACTGGTACAAGAAAATCAGCATCTTATTTATAGACCAAAATGGAGTCAAATAAAAAGATTGACTGGGTGTGCCATTTTTCATCATCAGACCAGATGTACAAGAATTCAGACCAGATCTATAAGAAGCAACAGTATTCGGCATGAGTTACTTGTCTGAAATGAGCAGTGAGGAAAGCCATAAAGAACAAGAGCAGAAAGAACATTAAACTGATCCAGGGAAAAATAATGTTGGAGATCCTGGAACTGCAGCTGGATGCTTGTCATTGACAATGCATTCCTGTACAGAGTTCAAATATTCTCCAATCTCTAGGAACATGTAGGGACAGTTCTAAAGGTTCACTGATAGGCTGCTGTTGCACAGTGCAGAGCTGTTCTGACTGCACAGGATCCAAACCTGGGGTTCAGTAAGATCTTGTCTTGGTGAGTAACTGTTCAAAAAGATTGTTCATAAAGAGCCAATATATTTCTTAATATTATTTCCATATACTTCATCTTTTAACTCCTTTATGGTACTCAAGTCTGTACAGGCATATAGTTCCCTCTCTCCCAAACCTCCCCCTCCCCACAGCTTTTTTCCCCCCATATTTTGAGTGATTTAGATGTATCGGTTTCTAGAACTTCCAAATTTTATTCTCTGCTCAGTACTAATAAACACACATTGCTTGGTAAGAACCATGTGCAAAATTAATTTTTAATACATTATTATTTCAGCTTTTTGTGTATGGTGTGTGTGAAAGTAACTTACAAAGACAAAAGTGCATGTTGAACACTGTGTAATCCAATTGTGACTGGAAGTTTGTGTATTTTATATAAATGATTGCTTATTTGGTGAGCTGCTACTTTTGTTCATATTTTGTAGCTTTCAATCTAGCATGTGTTAGATGATTGTCCACATATTGCACATTATATCCATGTGTAGAGTACAAGGTTATATTTAGAACAGTTTTCTTTTACAAAGTAAGTTAATTAGGGCAAGCACATTAATTCAATTTAAGAAGCTTGAATATGCTTGCAAGCTAGATGCTAGCTCAAACAAAATTTGCTTGAATAATAGAATTTTAGAATTGATACTGCCAAGTACTTATTTTGCTTAATTTTGCTTAATTTTTGTCTGTAGCTACATAACTACTATTTATACAGAAAAAAATACTTTGGCCAACTGACAAAAAGCTTTCATGCTATCTAAGAGAAATTTAGTATCCGGTTTAATATATTGCATATGGAAACGACGACTTTTTTCCAGCACTTGCTGCAGGTAAAGCCAGTGAGACCAGTTTGGCAAACACTCAATACAACTCGGATCGTTTTCATTGTAACTATTGGTAATTTTCTTCCAAGAAATCAAACTAAATCTACGAGAGAATTGCCACAGTCAAGGAAACGTTAAGAATACCATAACTATGTTTAATCTGAAGGCAAGTAATAATTTATTAAAGATTTTCAATATTTTAACGTTGTAGTGCCTGGTCTTGGACCCAAACCTTGAGCAAGCAGCTAATCAGTTGGCCAAATATGTAGCTGGTATTATGATAGTGTATAGAAAATCTTTACTGCATATCAAAGGTGAGTTTCAGATGTAGAGCCTTTTAAAAAACCTGGTTATTACTCAGTGTAGTGATGATGTATTAGGAGTTGGCCTCACTTTGACTTTGACTTTGCTGCATGTTTAAGTAGAGGTACAGTAGAGGTACTCCATAGTAATGTACTTCAAGAAATCTAGAGTGCATTCTTACAATTAAGTAAAACTCTTTGCACACTATATTTCTGTAGTTCATGACAGGTCAATAAAACTTAAACATATTTAACAGAAAATTTTAAGATTTTATTTTATCAATTTTTATTTAAATAATTTTCAGTAAAGATTGTTATATATTATATGTAAATTTTTATTGAAAACAAATTCATATTGTAATAGTAATGATTGAATTTCTCCAACTAGTACGCTATTGTGGTTCGTGAGGGTGAAAAGCAGAATGTGCAGGCTGAAGAGCTTTGCATAGGGGACATCATAGAGGTGAAATTCGGTGACCGAATTCCGGCTGATGTCCGTGTCATTGAAGCTAGGGGCTTTAAGGTTTGTTTCATAATACTTACTGAAATTGTGTTAAATACCAATGGAAATTATTTTGACTGGTAATTGAGCTGCTAAGTAAAATATCAGTAACCTAGTCAATTTCTCTTAGTATTGGGTAATGTGTTTTACCACACAGGTAGACAACTCTTCGCTAACTGGAGAATCTGAACCACAAAGTCGTTCATCTGAATTTACATCAGAAAATCCACTGGAGACCAAGAACCTCGCTTTCTTCTCTACCAATGCCGTCGAGGGTGAGCACTGAATAATTATTTACCATTGCCTTAAAGTTTTGTTTGGTATATAGTACCTATATGGGGAATTTTTATTTTGAATAAATAAATTTTATAGGTACTGGTGTTATAGGTATATACTGTATAGGTATTTTATAAGAATATTTTATAGGTACTGCCAGAGGTATTGTGATCAACATCGGGGACAACACAGTTATGGGTCGCATTGCTGGATTGGCTTCTGGTTTGGAAACTGGTGAGACACCCATTGCCAAAGAGATCAGCCATTTCATCCACATCATCACTGGTGTAGCAGTGTTCTTGGGCGTCACCTTCTTTGTCATTGCTTTCATCATGGGTAAGTTATTTGCACATTTTAAAACTTTTTCTGGTTAAGTTGGTTTCTCGACATATGGTACTAAATTATTAGAATATCAGCGGAGTTTTAAATTGTTTGCCAATTGACAAGATATTTTGTGTAGTCCCTTCATGCTATTCCAACTCCATACCAGCCATATTGTTCTCTGTACACAATATGTTTTCCTTTTTTTTTCAACTGGTTCTTACTAATAATGAAATGACATTCTCATTTTCTTGACTATCTTGGCATTATCTTAATTGATTTGACTTCTGTTGGCAAATGTGCTGATAACAAAAGTAAATACTGAAATTTAATGTTTTCTACTTTGAAATGTATTAAACCTTATTCTTAGCAGTTATCAGAAATGTCTGTAAAACTAATCTCTACCAATAAGTGTGATCTTTGAAATACTTCAGCAGTGTCATAGTAATCATTAAAAAAATTTCTTTACAGGTTACCACTGGTTAGATGCTGTTGTGTTCCTCATTGGTATCATCGTAGCAAATGTGCCAGAGGGTCTTCTTGCCACTGTTACTGTGTGTCTTACACTCACAGCCAAACGAATGGCGGCCAAAAACTGTCTTGTAAAAAATTTGGAAGCTGTTGAAACTCTAGGGTCCACCTCCACCATCTGCTCAGATAAGACAGGTACCCTGACCCAGAACCGTATGACAGTAGCTCACATGTGGTTTGACAACACCATCATTGAGGCTGATACATCAGAAGACCAATCTGGCTGCCAATATGATAAGACGTCTCAAGGCTGGAAGACACTATCTAGAATTGCTGCACTCTGCAACCGAGCAGAATTCAAGACTGGACAGGAGTCTGTACCTATCTTGAAACGTGAAGTCAATGGTGATGCTTCAGAAGCTGCTCTGCTTAAGTGTGTCGAACTAGCTGTTGGCGATGTAAGGGGCTGGCGATCACGAAACAAGAAGGTATGCGAAGTTCCATTTAATTCTACAAATAAATACCAAGTATCTATACATGAAACCGAGGATAAGAATGACCCCCGCTACCTCCTTGTCATGAAGGGAGCCCCTGAGAGGATCCTGGAACGCTGCTCGACCATCTACATTAATGGTGAAGAAAAGGCTCTGGATGAAGAGCTGAAGGAATCTTTCAACAATGCCTACTTGGAACTAGGTGGTCTTGGAGAACGTGTACTTGGTTTCTGTGACTATATTTTGCCTTCTGATAAGTATCCTCTCGGATATCCCTTTGATTCAGAATCTGTTAACTTCCCCGTACATGGCCTTCGTTTTGTAGGATTAATGTCTATGATTGATCCTCCTCGAGCTGCTGTACCCGATGCTGTAGCAAAGTGCAGATCAGCTGGAATCAAGGTTATCATGGTTACAGGTGATCACCCAATTACTGCCAAGGCAATTGCCAAGTCTGTAGGCATCATTTCTGAAGGTAATGAAACTGTTGAGGATATTGCCCAGAGACTGAACATCCCTATTAAGGAGGTTGACCCACGTGAAGCAAAGGCTGCTGTTGTCCATGGCTCAGAACTAAGAGATATGACATCTGAACAGTTAGATGATATCCTTATTCACCACACTGAGATTGTGTTCGCCCGTACTTCACCTCAACAGAAACTGATCATTGTTGAAGGTTGTCAGCGCATGGGAGCCATTGTTGCCGTGACTGGTGATGGTGTTAATGACTCTCCTGCTCTCAAGAAGGCTGACATTGGTAAGTTTTATCTATTTCATGTAGCTAGGAAGTTGTATATTTATTAAAAAAATATTCAGTGGTTTGTCTTGGAAATGTATATAAAGGTTATGTGCCATTCCTCTGCCTTTTCACAGAATAGTAAAGCTCCTGAACCTCCTTAACCTCCTTAACCTAAAACCTCCTTAACTTAAACATTTGCTTCACTCAGGTGTTGCTATGGGTATTGCTGGATCGGACGTGTCCAAACAGGCTGCTGATATGATCTTGTTAGACGACAACTTTGCTTCCATTGTCACTGGTGTTGAGGAGGGCAGACTTATTTTTGATAACCTCAAGAAGTCGATCGCTTATACCTTGACCTCCAACATTCCCGAGATCTCTCCATTCTTGTTCTTCATGATTGGCTCTGTGCCCCTTCCCTTGGGTACCGTTACCATCCTCTGCATTGATCTGGGCACTGACATGGTAAGTTTATTCAGCTTGTTTATTTTATGAGGGAATTCTATATATATTTAATCTCAAATGCAATTATTTGCTAAATAAGTTAGCTGTAAAGAACTAAAAATTTAGCATTTCATATTGCAGTACATACTATGTGTTACATCTAAAAATAACTTCTATGTAACTTTAGATTATTTGTTCATAAAATCATTAACACTATAAATGCCTTTCCTATTTTTTTTTTTTACTTTCTCAGCATTCACTGAATAACAATTTATTTTTCCCCTAAGATCCCAGCTATTTCACTAGCTTATGAACTTGCTGAAAATGATATTATGAAGAGGAGACCAAGAAGTCCCATATATGATAAATTGGTCAATGAGAGGTACTGAGAATTTTGTTGGCAAGTATAATGTGCCAAATATGTAGTAGAGTTCAGTCTTTGTAGGTTTAAAGTAAGCGGCAACATATAGTACAGTAATTGCTTAAAAATTGGTCCAATATTATTCTTGTAGATAAAGTAAAATTAATATTAAATGTAGGAAAGCTATAAGTCTAGTACCAACACGAAATACATCTTAGTATTTTATGATAACTTGCGCTATCTTTTAGTTCAACTACTGTATGTTCACCTTTTCCTTAGGTTCCTGCTATATCTCTGGCCTATGAAACTGCAGAGAGTGATATCATGAAACGTTATCCACGAAATCCATTCAAAGACAAACTTGTCAATGAAAGGTAAAAAAGGCAAACAGGAAAAGGACAAATGTGGAACAAATTTGTTTGAGCTTTTACAACATGGGAAACACTTCCTGTTCCCATTTTATTCGCACGCAGATATTGTCTTCGTACATTTTTAACTCGACTGCCATTTTCTTATCACAGATATTTAGCAAGACAAATAAAAATTTGCCTCCTATTTGCTTGTCACAACACATTGTGAATTATTGTAAGTTAGACATGTGATACTTGAATAGTCTTACATGGATTGATTTATGGTGATGATCAGTTAACACTCGAGTGATAAGCCTGTGTTTTTATCAGCAAGATTGCATGACTGATTTTTCATCTTTTCAAAATATGGCAAAAAGGCCAAAAAAAAACACATTCTAAATGGCCAGTGTGTATTAGGACGTACAGGCTGGTTTCCACACCAAACAGCTTTGTTAAACTTTGCTGGTTGGATTGAAGCAAGTTAAAGTTTTGACTATTCCATTACTTTTTTCTTTTGAGTGCTGTAAATCATGCAAAGTCTCTATACAGAAATTTTATCAGGAATGCAATTTCTACTTCAGTGATATTTTGCCTATTAAGTCACTTCTGATGGTATGGAGTATGCCTAATCAAAGTTATTTCTCTTAAGCTATATCACATTTTCTTAAGCCTCTTGTCATGTTGATGAATTTCTTCAGTATCATCCATAACCTTTTCCTACATACCATTTAATTATTGGTTTTGCAGTTCTACAAATCTGAAGCCCTTGTATATTTTTTTGGGGAAAGTGATGTTCTTTATTCGGTCTGTGGGTTCTCTTAAGCACTGCTCGTCATGTTTGTAAGTACTGTATGCGTACACAAGGCATTATATAGCCTGAAATTTTGGGGACTCAAAGTTTCAGATTAAAATTCAAAGTAACCCAATTTTATCCCCATTGGTTAAGCTTGGAGTTGGGGGGGATAGATGTTTTCCAATCTGTATTATCATAAAACATGGTGGTAAAACAGTAATAATATTGATTAATAATCAATAATAGTGATAAATAATATTATTGACTGGCATTGTTTAAAATGTCATAGGGGGTAGATACATCTAGCAGATCTTATTGAGGTAGGCCTCAACTGGCCTACCTCATTTACTCCCATTTCCATCTAACTAGCCCAGACCATTCAATGGCTGAATTAAAATTAGTTGCATAAATTTATTACTTTATGCCCTGCCACAATATGAACAGGACATAGTACTTTCTCATTGTATGCTAAGCTTGGTATATCCACTGCTATAATAGGCACTAGAATTGAACCAAATTTGCAATCAAGATGCTCTTCTCTGATGAGCAGGGGATTTTAAAACATTCTTTGTACACGAACATGCATCGTTCCTAAGGTTAATGTAATCGACACAACACCTCATATTGTCCGATAATGACTGACCCACTTTTACAGTTTCCAAACTGGCATGAACCCTTTTCCTTTTACTTCAACTGTTTAGGGTTTAATTATTAAGTAAATTCTTTCTTTCAACTTTTGCAGTGTGATTGGTATTATGGGTAGAGTGGGGCCTTGCCATTTAAAAAAAAATAACCATTCTGCTAGTTTAGATGAATCTAATGAATTTCCGAACTTGTCATTGCTTTTTTCCTTAGCCGTTATAACCATTCCTTGACAAACTTCATATTAACAAGTTAGCCTGAATGACCCGTTAGATCATTGCAGTTTATCCACTTAATTCATTGTAAACTGAATTATAAATGTTACTTTTTCTGCCTGTTTTACATATTCTAAACTGACCTTCCAACCATCCTTAAAGGTCAAGAAAATTCAGCTTCTCCCCAAGTAGGGAAGCAATCCTCTTCCTCTCCTTTTCCTGCCACATCATGACCATTATATACCTGTCATGGTCTTATCATCCTGCACTCACATCCTGTCACTGCAGTGTGTAGATGCTGCTAACTTTCAGCCTCCCAAATCGCACACCTTGGGCCGTGTTCAGTAAAGGTGCAGGTTTCGGGTTGTGTGGAAATTTGTTTGCATGTAAATTTGTGTTGTAAAGTGATGAAATACTTCTGAAACACTGAGAGACTTCACAAAAAAATATAGAATAAATGGGAATGTCTGAAATTTGCACCTCTTGCAAGCGGTGTTTGTGTGTTGACCTGCCATGCATGCCATAATCATCACTATAGTGTTGTGCCTCCAGAGTTCACTCCTTGTGTAACTGGTCTCATATCTGTCTTTTTTGTCTGCCTCTTGTCCTGTGCTGGTCATGACAGGTCCCAGCCATTTCTCTTGCCTATGAAGCTGCTGAATCTGATATTATGAAGCGTCAACCCCGCAATCCGTTCACCGACAAGCTTGTGAACGAGAGGTAACGTGTGCAGGTTCTCTATATCTATCTACATTCTATACCCCTTCCTAATCCCTCCTTAGATCCTGACAATCTATGATTCTGGAGAGAGAGAAAAAACCTCTGCATGGATTTTTTTTATATATATTTTTTTAAGCAGATGCCACACAAGACTCCATGCAAGCTTAGGCTGTGCTTCGTAAATTTCTACAATATCAAAAATGTTAAAAGTACTGTACTGTACTTAAGTACCAAAACGAGAGCACACAGTTGGCTGACGTACTTTAATTTACTACGTGGGACATGATGCATGTATTGTCACTCGAAGTATGAGCTTGCAAAAAAAAAAAAAAATTTAATGGTTTTGCTTCACTGACCTGATGTCTCCTGTCATTAAGTTTGACCTCAGAGACCATCACACAAGAACTAGCACTGTACCGAAAATTGCATTTTACAAGGGGCCTGTCACCAAACATTGATAAAGCAGCACATGCCCAACAGGACAGAGCAGATCTTGATTGCTGTGTAATTTTTTTTTTATTATTATTATTTATACTTGCACATGAACTTTCCAGGTTGTCCTGCAATTTAACGCATCTGTAGGTAGACGTTTTCATTTTATTTATTACTTTTAATTTTTGTTTTTATGTTAAAAGGATGTTAACATACTTTGGTTAATATTTAGGTGCCTGCCATTTCCCTTGCCTATGAAGAAGCTGAATCTGATATTATGAAGCGCCAGCCCCGCAATCCGTTCACCGACAAGCTTGTGAATGAGAGGTAATATTTGTGCCACTTTACTGACCGGTTATTCTTTACTAATGATTCAAGTTGATATTTGGTCGTCTCTTTCTCAGACGAGTGTAAATGAAATAACAAGCTTGTTGTTTGAAGGTGTCAAGGTGAACAGTTAGTGAATCTTAATATTGTGAGGGTGCTAGCATGAAGATTTTGGAATTTTTCTGGAGTGGTGCTATCAAGTCTTTGTTGTAATATTCTATGCTTTAATACTTTTCCTGCATGAGGATACAATTTATTACTGAAAAAACTCTGCTTTAAAACTTAAAAGGCGCACAAAATTGGGCAAAATTTGTTAAAAACTCGTGTAAAGTAAATTGACTGGCCAACAAGATTATTAAAAACATTTCTGACCAGTCTGAGCCTTTAAGTCTTACCAGCTGCTCTCAAGTGTAGGATGTAAGGTACCTTCTTGTACTTAATGGTGTAGAAGTGTTTCATGTGTTGATATCAAAGTAATCTGAATTAGACACAGCAGTGTTTCATAATTGATTGGCTTACCTGTAATGGAGTTGTGCAATGTGGCCAAAGACTTTTGTGCAAAATCTATTGGATAATTTTTACTTAAAATATCGATTTTAGGGCAAAAATTATTTTACTTGTTTGTTTATAGTAGCTGAGAAGTGTGCATATTTAGAGAATGGATCTTAAAGATAATTGTTTGCAATTTTCCTATTTGTATAATTTTACATTTTTATTAGTTGTAACCAACTATGTGGAACATACTCCCATTACAGTCGATTCTCGAATCTGTGTGGTGATAATTAGTTTAGATTTATAACTTGTTTGATCCAGGCTCCATCGAATAAATTATGCACAAGTGTTCGAGCCTTTGCAGGTTTGCATGGAAATGTAATTAGTTGTTGACAAATATGTCTCAGTGTAGGCCCCACAAGTATTTTTAGAATTGATAACTTACCATATCATTTGTCCTTGAGTATTGGTTTAATGACTCCTAATGAAGTTCCTAACATCTTAAACAACAAGGTGTGAGCTTTGCTCTTTGGAAGTACTGTAATGAAGTATTATTCTAAGGAATGACATAACCACATCTGTAAATATTAGTGTAATTGGCTGAAAAAGCTATGCTTTTTACCAGTGATTCTTAGCTGACATGCTTAGTCCATCACCCAAAGTAAAACTCGGCTGGCAAATGGAGAAAAGACTTGCACTCCGACTGGGTGATAATTAAGGTACAATACCAACATAGACTTTAATTGGGAAATTTCTCGGACATACTAGGACTAAGGGTAAGGGCCATTGAACGAACATTAAAAAAAAAAAAAAATGTAGAAAACTGAAACATACTCCAAAAGGCCTTTACAAGGCCAACCCCTTCTTTTTTTTGGGGGGGGGGGATGGCGAGGGGGAACCTTAAATCACAAATTAAAGGTTTGCTTGTCAGGCAGTACCATCTCCTGTCACAAGATGGCAGCACCAGAATCACGGTATGATCTACCTCACCAATCTGCCTCACATTTATAGTGACACTGCATACAGGGTAGTCCTGGTAAAAGGAAGGGACAGGAGTTACAAAGCAATTATGAACAAAATTATCATACTGTATAGTATAGCAAAAGCCTGTTTATCAATCCCACTTGGTTGCCCAACAATTAAAGCTTAGGCATTGAAAGTAAACCGGAAATGTCGACACGAAAAAAGCAGAGTAGTCCGAATTGAATGATTGTCCACCTGGAGATGAAGACTTGTTCAAGTAGGTTTTTTGAGACAAGAAGGAAATACATCTCAAAGGGATAGAGTAGCTTAAGCTATTTTAACCCCCACCCCCCACCCAATGAAGACTAGTTACCCCAAAAGTAAGGGATCGAAGACACGAGAGGAAATACCCACAAAACAGCAGCTGGCAGAAAAGCATCAGGTGGGGAAGTAATAGGCAGATAACTGGACAAAAACCCACATGCTAATAGCAATGTAAAGTAACTTGTGCAGGTGTATAACTGCAAATACTGTATGCTATTAGGCCTGCAGGAGTCTTGGACCCAAATGTTGCCACAGATTATCACCTAATGGAAAGCTTTGAGGGTTTCATGTTTCCAAAGGCCCTGCACTGGAGCTTAGGCTTGGGGTCATCTTGGTTTAGCACTGAGGAAAGGTTGAAACACTTGTGCTTTATACATGGTAACAGTCCTGGGATCGATAAGGATTTTGTTGCTTCGACATGTGCAGTTGTACCAAGATAAAGGGGAAAGTTGGCAAAAGGTGAAGAGGTGTGGTACACTCTGGCTTAACACTTTTGTGTTCCCGGGGTGTGCCCCCCAGCCTGCCCCAAGGTGGGCAGCGCGTTTTGCAAGAGTGGGCGGCCACACTGAAATGTGTGTTCTTTTTCAAAAGCCAAACCTTCATTTAGCTTGAATCTGCGTTCTCTTGTTCTTGAAGTTGTTGGTTTCAGGAATTCCTGTCAATTTGGTCAATTCCTGTTATTATTTTGTAAGTGGTGATCATTTCACATCTTTTTTTTTTTTATTTTCTAGCTTTGGCATATTTAACGCCTCTAGCCTCTCCTCGTAACTCTTGTTCATTTCTGGAAGCCATTTTGTAGCATGCCTTTGGCCCTTTTCCAGTTTATTGATGTGCTTCTCGAGATATGGGCACCATACAACTGCTGCATATTCCATTTTTTGTCTCAGAAAAGTCATGAACAGTTTTAGAATTTCATCATCCATACAGTTAAAGCGAGTCTGAAGTTGGAAAGCCATGAGTTGCATGGCGGTGGACTATTTGCATTCATGATCATTAGTTTATCATCCTCATTGTAGATCTCTAGTGCTATTATGTCGATTTCTCGTGGGTTGGCAATCATTATTTTGTTTACCTTTAGGTGTTCTTTTACCAGCACAGCAATGCCACTGCCTTTCCTAATTTTTCTGCCCTGTCCCCAAACTGAGTAGCCCCCTTGGGAATATGACCTTATTTAAAATATCTTCAAGTTTGTCTCCGTGAGTGCAACAATGTCTGGCGTCTGCAGCTGTATTACATCACTTTTGGCCAAATACAGCCAGTTGTTAGTTCAAAATGAGTCCTCAACAGTGTAGTTGGCAAACCCTGGGTAGGTTGGGATGTCTTGGGTGCCACGTTCAATCCAAAATGGAGGGTCAGTCTGTTAACGTTCCCAACTATTTTCCTTGCTGGATAATTGAAATTGAGTGCGTTTTACTGTTCGCAAACTTTGTCTCGGTATCATTTGTTAAAAATGGTAGTGATGTGGTGATCATGTAGGCAGATATTGTAATAACAGTTCACAAATAATTTTTTTAGTTTTTGTTATTTTGATATGTACCCACAACTTTGCCTTTTGTTTTAGCTAAAGAGTACCCTATAGTTGAACTTTCATGGTAAAGCTTGAAAACATATTCTGACATCTCTCTAAATTACTAAGGGACATTGTATTTATGGCTCAGGAGTGGTGGGAGCATAGTACTAAACTGTAAATAGTTGGCAGGATCAGATCCCTCTCTATCTCTAGTTAGCACCATACACTATGTTCAATTTCAATTGTACAGAGTTTCAGAATACATTATAGTATCCTGTAAATTTGATGTGGCAAGTGTGTGGTATTCATAATATTATGGCTCATGACAAACTACTGACAATTCATGTTGGAAAGGAAAGGGCAGTAGGAAAATATGCTACTAGGTTCCAAATATGCTCCAAAACAAATGATGGGTTGTAATGTCATCACAACACACAAGCTGGAGGTTTCTTGCTCCATTTTTTTTACTGGGAGGCCACCCTTGTCCAAAATTTCTGCCCTTCCCTATTAATGTGTAATAAAATTCTCGATCCTAAAATAAATCTAAGCAGGATGAGCTTATTCTGGGTATAGGGTAATGAATACTAGCAAAGAATCGGGAATCGACTGTGCACGTACATCGTCGTATTTTGTATCAACAGTTCAGTTTTTTATTTAGGATACAGTATTTTGTTTGCAATATTTTATGCATCTTCCTTTCAATACTAACAAGATGGTATTATTCATATAATGTGTGTAAGTTTGTAGTTTTGATTGCATGCTTGAGGCAATTTTGCAGTGTGCTCTGGTGTTGTGCATGATGTGCATGATCTTTGCAGTTTCTGCAGTGTCTACCCCCCTTCCTTTCCTCACAAATTCCAGGTGCTTTACATGTCCAGGCTTAAGTGACATAAGGAGTTGTTCCACTAGCAGTCTGGTATTTGCCATGGATTTGTTTCATATACTGTAGACTTGCACAGTAGCACAAGTAAAGCAGTATGTAAAGCAGTGTGCCAATTTCCTGCCATTAATGCTTCTTTCTGTGGCCTGTACTATTTAGGAAGCAGTGTTTTGTGTTTGTCTGAACACAGATGTAGGTAGATGGTGCTTTTAGAAAGTGCAATGCAGTGCGAATGGTCCATCTACATAACCACACAAGTCGGTGGTCTTCAATGGGAAGAGGTTGCCAGGAATGCTGGCCATCATGTTAGGGACACAGGGAAACAAAGGGTTATTTTGAGCCCAGTATGCAGCTCCTTCTTGCCCTCTACCCTTCTATGAGCCACCGCAGTGTGTAGTCCACTCACATCATCGATCAATAAGGGACAGTTGACTGTTCATCGCCACCCCACATCCTCATGGACGTACTCCGGGGTGTTAAGGAGTCACGCTAATTACCCGTAAATTTTTACACAAATGCGCAGGTCCCGGCCATTTCCTTGGCCTATGAGGCTGCAGAATCAGACATAATGAAGCGGCAACCACGAGACCCGTGGCACGACAAGCTTGTGAACTACAGGTGAGCTGCAACCATTTACAGCAGGTGTTTCCAAAAGTCTTTACTCCCTTGTTACTGTATATTGGGAATGTTTTTTGGTGTTGCAGGTGAAGCATACAGTGCTTGCCATGCAGAGCTGTTATTGGTGTTATAGAAATTCGCATTAAGGAAAATGTGTGTTCAGCATTTGTGTTAATGAGGGCAGTGCATCAATACATTATACAGATTTACTTCTTGTTTATGTACATTTATTCCTTGTTCATGGAATGCCAGCTCAAAGTTCTTCTGTATTTAATTACAGCTAATCTGTGTTTCAAACTTACATGTTATTTTAGGGAAACCATCAAAGAAACGCTCAAGTACATGGCATTTATAAAATAGCCTTGGGGAGTCAAGTATACATTCTACGTTGTCATTGTTTTGCAGTTTTGCCGTGTCCAACCTGATATGGGGTATGTTTAATCGTTAACTGTATTGTCAAATAATTATTCAGTTGATGGATCATTATATGGCCCTCCCTGAAGGATGATGACATCTTAGTACCTGCTGTGTCTAAACAGGAGTTCCTCATGCACCATAACTACAAGTTGACTGGGATCAATGTCTTGCAGTGGATTTCTGTTTGCACTGCACCCATACCCTTGTATAAGTACTGGATTGAAGGCACCATATATTCTCCAAATCTCAGACAGTCCCAAAAATTTATTATTGTATAATGCTCCAAATGTTTGTACAAAGTTTTGTTAACCCTCTGCATGAATCTTCGAGTGCATGATTTGTCTCGTATCGGAAAATATTACAATGAACGTGTCTTGAAGGTGAGCTGTGAGAACGGCTCGTCTTACATGGTAAGAGAATTTCTTATAAAGAAAATTTGATATTGGACTTCACTTCCCATAGAGAACCTTTGTAACTGGAGGTAACTTGAACTTCTTATAAATGCTACTTACCTTACATCTGTAGATTGCTTAATTAACTACATTTTAATAATGCTATTTTATCAATGCTTGTGCATATTGTTTTTGGTTAGAAATAGAGTAAGAAATATAATCACCATGGATCATTTGTTGCAATATATTGAGCAAATGAGTAAACAAAAATATATTTAAGCTCAATATATTGAGTTTAAAGTTACCATGTACAATACACACGCCTTAGCCTGTACAGTATTCACACATGCCCAAGATATTATACATTCACACATACATTTATAAACATGATTAACAAGTTTATGGAGGCAATGAGTAACATTGTTATAGCAGTTAAAGGTGTTTTTGTGTGAAATTAAGGTTTGAAAGGGTAAAGGTGGGAAATATGGCATATGCAGATTGTAAAGGCTTAATTGTCATAGCTTAGAGAATGATTATTCTTAAAGAATAATTGTATGATCCTAATGGTAAAACTAGAAAAATACTGATTGTTTAATGGGCAGTAATGGTGTCATGAGTAAATGATAGATTGTAGATTTATGGGATGAAAGTTATGTACCTGTAGTTTGAATGCACTTTTTAAACAAAAATAAATCTGCTAAGAGAAGTATGTTGGAGTGTGTTTTTAATACAAGATCTGCAAGAGAAAAATCTGAAGGTATGTCTGATCCGTTGTTAGTGCCGTGTAAGATAACATTACGTATAGTGAATGGGTGATCGAACTTCAAGGATCCGGGAGGTAAAAGAATAAAAGCGAGAGAACTGTTTTATGAATACAATAGTTGACTCATCTTGGAGGAGACACTGAATAAATGAATTTTAGTGCCATGTATGCAAGAATACTAGGAAGTGCATAAAGTTGCACTCTATATATTTGTTTTTTTGTTTTTGTTTCATGTATATTTGTTTTATAAGTTACTGTTGTCTGCCTATTGTCTATCCAAGGTTGGTGGCCAGACAGTTGGGGCTACCCTTACCCAGCTTTCCAACATGAAAAATGGAGGGTATGCAAGTGGCACTGTGGCATTTGGGGTCAGCCAGTGTGTGTGTGTAATTACATGAGTGTAGTTACAGGATGAGAGCTACGCTCGTGATGTCCCGTCTTCCCTGTACTCTGTCGTATAATGCTTTGAAACTACTGACAGTTTTGGCCTCCACCACCTCACTTAGCTTAATCCAACTGTCTACCACTCTGTTTGCAAAAGGAAACTTTCTAATATTTTTTGGCACCTTTGTTTCCTTAGCTTGAAACTGTGTCTTCGTGTTCGTGAAGTTGCTGGTTTCAGGAATTTCTACTTGTCATCTTGGTAGATTTCTGTTAGTATTTTGTAAGTGGTCATCATATCTCCTCTTTTTCGTCTATCTTCTAGTTTTGACATGTTTACCACCTTCAGTCTCTCTTCGTAACTCTTGTTTTTTTTTCAGTTCCAGGAGCCATTTTGTAGTGTGCCGTTGCACCTTTTCCAGTTTATTTATGTACTTCTTGAAATTTGCGCACCTACAGTTGCTGCATATTCCAATTTTGGTCTCACAAAAGTCATGAACAGTTTCTTTAGTATTTCATCATCCATATAATTAAAAGCAAGTCTGAAGTTGGAAAGCAACACATACACTTCTCACAATGTTCTTTGTGTTGCTCTGGCGACGGCTTACTATCCAAAACCACTCAAAGGTCTCATTCTTTATTAGTTCTGTAATTTTTTCAAAATAATTTGTAAGGTGTGTGGTCTATTTTCTCTGATTCCACATTCCATACATGGCATTTATTCACATTGAATTCCTTTTGCCACTTGAGTGTGTGTGTGTGGGAATGTTTACCGAGCGAACGTGTTCAAATCCACGTATAGACTCAGCCCTCCCCTATCTGCGCCGCACTCTGAATGCGCATGAGCGTGTGTGCACGCGTGTGCGTGTCTGTGTTTAATGCTGCAAGCACTTTTTATCTAAATCAGTTTGAAGGGCATTACAATTGTCTGCCTTTCCTATCTTCCTTTGTATCTTGGCATCATTTGCAAACATGTTCATATACTGTAATTCTGTATTCCTTCTGGTAGATCATTTATGTAGACGATGAACATTACTGGTGCAAGAACTAAACCTTGGCGGTACTCCGCTAGTAACATTCCTCCAGTCAGATACATTCTCTGATTTCTGCCCTTATCTGTCAGTTAAAAAAATAATTTCATCCCTGTCACTCCTCCAGCCTGTTCCAGTTTCCCGAACAGCCTCTTGTGTGGCACTCTTATCAAAAGGCCTCCTCCAAGGTCCAGATAGTCCTGGTTGATACTTGGTTGATCCACCCACCACCTCTATCCTATATCATCTCTATCATAAAAAGAAAACTAAGTAGATTTGTTACACAGGATCTTCCTGTTGAAAACCATACTGTCCGTTTTGTCATTACTCTCTAGGTGTTCAACCCATTCGGCTTTAACTATCGTTTTTAGTGTTTTGACTACCACGCTTGTTAATGATACGGGTCTATAATTTAGTGGTTCCTCTCTACTACCATTTTTATAGATTGGTACTGTTTGGCTTTTTCCATATCTGCTAAGATACCTGCACACAAGGATGTCTGGAATATTAATTGGAGTGGAATGCTCAACTCAGTTGCACATTCTTGTAGCACCCAAGGTGAAACTCCATCAGGTCCAACTGCTTTATTTCTTCAAAGTCCCTTGAGTAATTTTTCCACTTCATCTTGAGATACCTCTATGTATTCTATGGCATGCTCTGGAACTGGTATTGGGTCCAGTTCTATGAAATCCTCATTTTGTACATACATACTTTTGGAACTCTTCGTTTAGCATTTCACACATTTCTTTTTCATTGTAGTCCTGTTCCCCATTCTCAATCTCTGGATTTTATCCTTTACATGCAACTTGCTCTTAATGAATTTATGGATAAAGCCCTGGGGTCTGTTTTACATTTGTCTGCTATACCTTTCTCAAAGTTCCTTTCTGCCTCTCTCCTCGCTGCTGTGTAATTTTCTTACTTGTAGTGCTGGTATGCTTGTGGGTTAGGCCTCTTCCTATATCAAACTCATTTTCGATATAGATTTCAGAGTGTATAAAATGAATTGTGTGAAAAATATTATGATTGAAAGAATATCCATTGTAAAAAATAAATGGTTATAGGTATCGGGTTGCAATATTACATTTCTCCAACAACTTTAGACAAATTTACAAATTAAAATGCTAAATATTTTGCACCAAAGATCTGGTTGATGTACATACAGTATTGTATTTATATCGGCATATCCTTTATTTTGTTATACTATAGTATAAATTAAATTATTTTAAGCCCATAATTTTTTAATGTAAGTCATAATGTAAAACTTTCTTATACAATATTAAGGGCTGAACTTTTAACTTCATAGCTTTGATAATCAAGAATTAAAATGATAAGATTTGTTTGCAAAGTAATCATATACTCAGAATGAATTGTAGTGTACAGGGTATACTCATTATTATTAATCCCAAACACAACAGGCTCATCTCCATGGCCTATGGTCAGATTGGTATGATCCAGGCCTTGGCAGGGTTCTACGTCTACTTTGTCATCATGGCAGAAAATGGCTTCCTTCCACCAAAACTCTTTGGAATTCGTGAACAGTGGGACTCAAAGGCTATCAATGATCTGGAAGATCACTATGGCCAGGAATGGGTTAGTATTATTTTATCATGAAATTTTAAGTTGTCCAGAAAGTGCAGTCTCAAAGATTTTGATCTTGCTTTTTGGCAACATAAATTAATTTTTTAGTGCAAATTAAATATTAATTGTACTTTTTGTTTAAGCTCAATTTGTGGTCCAAATATTAACAATGCTAGTGTGTGTCTTGGAAAAAAATCCTAGAGAATAAGTAACAGTGGTGTCGGTGATGGAAATAAGCCCCTAATAGATTTGGATGCTGCTGATGGGGAAAGTCGACTTCAATCTTAGGCCCTAAGTGCATATAAACAGGATATCTATGTACAGTAAAAGTGTCAGACCCTAACTAAATTCTTCAGGCTTGTACAAAGCTTCAGCCCATCCTTCTGTTTAGGTAGTACTGTACTGTGCTTGTAGTAACGATGAGGACCGTCATGTATACATATTGACACAAATGGCAATTAGAAAAGTAGAAGTTGGTACTATTCAGTTTGGATAAACCTGAAAAGTTTTTGTACTGATGTTGCAAAGAAAACTTAATCAAACATTTGTAGGCCTAATACATGCTATCTGAGGCTTAATATAGTACATGTGTGTGTGCTATATTAGGCCTAGAAATATTTAAGTTCTGTTTTTATTTTTATTTTTTGGGACTAGAGTGAATAGTACCAAATTTGACTGACTAATTGTTCACTATGTCTATGTATATATGATAGTCCATATAGTTAGAAAAAGTACTATCTAAACAGGAGGATGGGTTGAAATCTTATATTAAATTTGGTCTTTGAGTATGGAGCAGTATCAGCATGGAACACAGCTCATGACATAAAATTGAGAAGACATTGATCTCATGCAGCTGAAAACTAAAATAAGGGACTTGACCTATGAGGGGTGGCTGAGAGTTTAACCTACAAACACACACACATAAAAGTAATTATTCAAGATAAAAATAATGATTTTGGCTTGATAATTGAATAAGAACTGTTCAAGTAAGAAATAGATGTGACACAGGTAGAACTAGAAATGGAAAGGAGCTACTATTGTGTAGAGAAGTGTTCCTAGATCATGTGAGCATTAAATAGTATGTGGTGCAAACTGACATGGTTTAACCATCTGACAGAGATGGTTTAAACCAAACAAAACTACAATTTTAATAAGTAGAGGACATTAATAGGGAATGGAGTCATGTTGTATAAGATCTCCAGAAGTGAAGTACATGAAGTCTTCCTACCTGAAAATACTGTTAAGCAAGTACTTAGACCAGTAGTTATACTGTGCGTCATATGAGTGTGTACTGGTCTTGTGCACCACACAAAATTTAAGTACATAATTATAATTAACCCTTGCATAAAAGATGCACATGAAAGTTTTATTAAGGGCCCAATAATTACTACCATTTGTACAATAATACCACTGACAAGCATGTTTATAAATTAACAAGTATTTATTTGTGCAGTAATTAATGCTCTTTAACTTGATTACTCTCACAGACCTACCATGACCGCAAAATTCTCGAGTACACATGCCACACTGCTTTCTTCGTTTCCATTGTCATTGTGCAGTGGGCAGATCTGATCATCTGCAAGACCCGACGTAACTCCATTGTTCACCAGGGAATGAAGTAAGTTTATTTAAATATAGTAACTAAATTGAGTAATGAAAGAGTTTTAATGAAATGAAAAGTAATGAAAGTTTTAGGTTTTCAAATGAGTTTGAAAAGTTTAAAGGCATTAATATTTGTTAAATTATGCTTACCACGGAAAGTATATATATTATTTTTAATTTCTTACATGCTGTGTTCATACTGGATTGTAATAAATTATATTTTACAGGAACATGGTGCTTAACTTTGGTTTGTGCTTCGAAACTACACTGGCTGCCTTCCTCTCGTATACCCCAGGAATGGACAAGGGTCTTCGTATGTACCCTCTCAAGTAAGGATTATTTTCTTCTCAATATTGCATTAAAATATTCTTTTACACCACTGTGTAGTGCAGTATAAAGGTTGACAATTATGGACATTAAACTTAAGCCTATTCTTTACCATTACAATACATGTTCCGCATTCTGACACAAATTAGGTTATTTTAAGTACCATCTGCACGTGCTAATCTGGATTATATGGGGGTTCATTTCTGTGTTAGCCGGACGTCCAGAAAAGGGGCAATTCTTGCTGGAACGGCCCAATAGTGAATATATTAAAAAAATTTGGTACTACAACCATCATAATTTGTATTTCCACGAAATAAGCATAAATTTACAGGGTAAGGGAAGATCTTCATATACAGTACTCAAATAATTTAATGATAATAGAAATTTCAGCTTGTTGGAGTCTGCTTGATTGATGAAAGGCTTCAAAAATATTCATTTATTAACCTAACACAACACTAAAATTACACTGCCCAACCCTCAATTTGTCCTTCAAATATCCAATTAATCCTACAATGTATGTGTGTGTGTGTGTGCCCGACCAGGCATCTCGCCATCATGCTGTGACCCTGTGGCCCTGAGGCGAAAAGCCTCTGTCTGTTTGACAGCCGGTCTCAGAGATGGCTCGGCGCAATCTCTGTACACTCCTGTAATTACCTAAGTGTAGTTACAGGATGAGAGCTACGCTCGTGGTGTCCCGTCTTCCCAGCACTGTCATATAACGCTTTGAAACTACTAATGGTCTTGGCCTCCACCTCCTTCTCACTTAACTTGTTCCAACCGACTGCCACTGTTTGCGAAAGTGAATTTTCTTGTACAGTATTTCTTCGGCATCTGTGTTTAGCTAGTTTAAATCTACGACCTCTTGTTCTTGAAGTTCCAGGTCTCGGGAAATCTTCCCTATGTTTTATCAATTCCTGCTACTATTTTGTACATAGTGATCATATCACCTCTTTTTTCTTTTGTCTTCTAGTTTTGGCATATTTAATGCCTCTAACCTCTCCTTGTAGTTCTTCCCCTTCAGTTCTCACAGCCACTTAGTAACATGTCTTTGCACCTTTTCCAGTTTGTTGATGTGCTTCTTAAGATATGGGCACTACATAACCGCTGCATATTCTAGTTTGGCCAAACAAAAGTCGTGAACAATTTCTTTAGTATTTCGCCATCCATGTATTTAACACTCGCACGTGCGCCATGTGAGCACCGCAGACTTTGACGTCATGGGGCTAATGGTGCGGGCGAGCGTGCGGCGACGCCTAAATGTGTATACTTGTTTGTTTTCTCACCTTAATTCTTGTGCTACGTCGTTCGTTTTGGTATCATTGTGTTCGCAATTAAATTCCCTGCAGATGCATATGCATATAATGTCCAAAAGCCTGGCGAGACTCCCCGCAGCGAAGCCTAAAATTACCCGTGAATGAGCACCAATTTGCACACCACAACCTAATGTGTATACTCGTTCAGTTTGATAACATCAATTTTCATGTTACATCGCTCATTTTGATATCAAATTGTTCATAATATAAAGGCATGCATTTTAAAACTAGTCCCATAATAATAGCACAATAAATAGAATTTTAACAAATATTTTAAAATGTAAAATTTAGACCCAAAAACGTATTTATAATCTTTCAAGTGTTCAGACATAAAGTTTCGTGTTACATCTTTCATTTTGGTATTAAATTGTGCCCATTCTAAAGGCGCTTATTTTGAAACTATCCCGAGGTCGATCGGATAAAAAATGAATTTTATACAAATATTTTTGTAGTGGATGAGAGTCCTGTCCATGGCTAGGACTCGAGAGAAAAAAAAATGGACATGATCGGTGTCCAAAGAGAGCGATAGTGTTAAAATTGATGAATGTGTCTTTGGGGTCGACTGCTGGATGGAATACAGTTGGTTGAGGATGGGTTGTCTAGTCATATGTCCACCTCTAGGTGGCTACACCTCTGAGCGGAGCAGATTCTGGCTCCGAGGGGTGATGACTTGTGTATGGCAGTGTCTTGGTGCCTCAGGAAACCACTATGGGCCAGTCAGAAGGAAGCATTTTATTATGCTCAACACTGGTTTTCACCCACTTGTACTCTTCACACAAACTAGTATGTACAGAAATTTGCTTGCCCAAGAATCCCATTTTGTATTATCCTTGTGTGATTAGGTTATCTTTGGGCTTGTGTAAATGGGTCCTAATGAACTAAATATTGTCAACATAAAATGTTGTACATTTAATTGTATATAATATTTAGTGTATGTCCAGTCAGATAATCAGTACCAGATGTCATTATGTAATAATTTTAATTTTCCAGATTCTACTGGTGGCTGCCAGCTCTTCCCTTCTCATTACTCATCTTTATTTATGACGAGTGTCGCCGATTCATCTTGCGCAGGAACCCTGGAGGCTGGATGGAATTGGAGACCTATTATTAAGTTGTTTATGGAGCACAAGAGTTAAAAGAGCTTAAGTGGCAATCATCACCTGTCACTAGCAGCAGCCTTCCCACATCCAGCACTTGCCGCTATTACTCGTGTTTCTCTGATGCCCAATAAAGGAAATTTAATATCCTGATAAGAACTAATTTGTAGATGAAGCTGAGAATAATTAGTGAAGGAGTGTGTTGGTGGCTCTAATGTGCTCCCCTGTATGATTCCATAACATATTTCTTTGTTACTTGCTGAGGATTTTAATGTCATTATGGTTGTTTCTAATTTTCCCCATTGTTATATATAAGATTTACAGTAAGTAACATTGAGATATTTGTACAGAATCCTGGTGAAGGATGTAATAAAGACAAAAGTGACACTTCAAGAATGCACCAGACCTTGAATTGAGGTTTATACAGCCTCTAACTCCCGTTCCAGGCTGCAGGTGTGAGAAAGCAAGGGCTCTAATGAGAATTTAGGAAAAAAAAAAAGAATTTAAGAGGTATTTAATATATATATATATATATTCTAAAAGATTACACATTCACACATACACAAATGATATACATACAAATACACATATTTAGTATCTATTCAGTGGCTCAAAAGATAATTTAAAAAGGTTTGTTAAGGTTTTTGGAAGAGAAGCTTTGCTTTCTGGCACAAGTAGCCCGGGTGAAGTTTGTCTCATCTGTTAAAATTTTTGTAAATTTTAGTGCACATGAGTAGAAGTGTGATGGCTACAGAACTGCAGCCAAAATAAAGTGTAAAAAATATTGTGTAGATAGTCTGTAGACAGCCCCATTCTTCATGAACTACCTAGTTTGCAAGACTGTTTTCATATTGATCATAACCATTATTTGGAGTCGAGTTGTTACAGCTGTACTGCTCAAACCTTATCCCACGTTTGTTGGTTAATGTTTTAATGCTTAGGTTATTTTATGTTCTCCCTCAATGGACATGTATTAATATTTTTGCATATGTGCAGTAAAATTGGAGATAATACATTTTAACCTACAAAGTTGATATGTAATTTAATTTGATCCCTTTACACAGTAATGCCTTATCTGCTCCATACTTTGCTTAGGTTCTTGAAATTTTTCTAAAGTGACGCATTGGGTCCGTAACATTCCACACTAAAGTACCAGTTATTTTAATTTTGCTATAGAAGCCAGTCATTGGTAGAGGTAGAGTTATTAACTAGCTCCTAGGTATGCAAAAAAATTCCTAGCTCCAAACCTTATGCTTTTTACCTTGAGAGTGAAGCCCATTTAGACAGTGTGCATGAATTAGAATGAATGCATGACTACAGTGTAATAAGATACTGGTCATTTTCTTCATTGTTAACCCAAGAGCATTCATCATAACAAAATTTGAGCCTTCTACCTCTGTAGTTCCTGCTCGGCTTCTACCAAGTCATGTTGAAGCTTAGTTTTTGGTGTAAACAGATATTTAGTTTGTGGGTAGATGAATTAAGAGTGGTTGAAATGTCTGGTTGTCTAATGTTTAACCATTCGGAATGAATCTCAATGTCATCAAAACTGACTTTGTTTACCACAAAAACTGTGCTGAAATTAGCTGCCAGGTGTAGGATCTTGTTGTTTTAGTTTAAATTATTTGATCATACTGTATGTGAACCGTTGATAGAGGTCTTGTTGTGGAGACTTGTGACAAGCAAGGAACTATTGCCTCTGCGTGACCTGCAGCAAAACACTGTGGTTCTGTGTAGTAGCCATTTACAGTGACTTTGTGCTTGTCATCCTTCCAAGCTTCGTACTAAAGCAACTAGCTGTGGGTCGGCCTTTGTACATAGGGGATACAGATATCATAATAATTAATAGTAAGGACAATATTAAATATCAAGGCAACTATATCTTGTTATAAAGCAGCATTTAATGTCACTTTAATTTTTTTTTTTTTTTTTTTTTTTTTTTTCATTTTTCTTGATGGAGGCAGGGGAGGAGCTCACATGCTCCTTTATAAAGGTCTCAAATGTTTGAGCACGAAACCAGTGCTCGCAGCAATCAGAGGATACCAAGGGAATGTCACTTTTGTTCTAGTGTTAATGTCATGTTATTCCCTACCTTGGTTTCCATGTTCATGAAGGGAAGATTTTGGAAAATGGTCACAATATTATCATTTTATTTTAAAAGTTCAATACTGGATCCACTTCAAGTGCTGGATTCAACAATAAAGTGTTTGAAAATTTTTACCGTTTCCTTACACCTGCCAGTAAAGTTAAAGAATTAAGGGTAAGAGTATTGAGTATTGGTAAGCAAACTTTAAATAGAATCCTGATAGGTGGTGCATTTAAGGAAGTGGTGTTTAATGTCATGAATGTTTGGAGAAATTATTTTACTTGAACAAGGAAACTTTTCTTCAATAAAGCAACACTGTGGACTAGGCTGCTCTCTTAATGGTAAGAACATAAGAACATAAGAACAAAGGTAACTGCAGAAGGCCTATTGGCCCATACGAGGCAGCTCCTATTCTATAACCACCCAATCCCACTCATATACTTGTCCAACCCGTGCTTGAAACAATCGAGGGACCCCACCTCCACAATGTTACGCGGCAATTGGTTCCACAAATCAACAACCCTGTTACTGAACCAGTATTTACCCAAGTCTTTCCTAAATCTAAACTTATCCAATTTATATCCATTGTTTCGTGTTCTGTCCTGTGTTGATACTTTTAATACCCTATTAATATCCCCCGGTTATGTCCATTCATCCACTTGTAAACCTCTATCATGTCACCCCTAACTCTTCGCCTTTCCAGTGAATGCAACTTAAGCTTTGTTAATCTTTCTTCATATGAAAGATTTCTAATTTGGGGAATTAACTTAGTCATCCTACGCTGGACACGTTCAAGTGAATTTATATCCATTCTATAATATGGCGACCAAAACTGAACTGCATAATCTAAATGGGGCCTAACTAGAGCAAGATATAGCTTGAGAACCACACCAGGTGTCTTGTTACTAACGCTGCGATTAATAAATCCAAGTGTCCGATTTGCCTTATTACGAACATTTATGCATTGATCCTTTTGTTTTAAATTCTTACTAATCATAACTCCCAGATCCCTTTCGCAATCCGACTTCGCAATCACAACACCATCTAGCTCGTATCTTGTAACTCTATCATCATTACCTAACCTCAGAACTTTACATTTATCAGCATTAAACTGCATCTGCCAATCCTTTGACCATTTCAAAACCCTATCTAGATCAACTTGAAGTGATAGTGAGTCCTCCTCCGAATTAATTTCCCTACCGATTTTCGTATCATCGGCAAATTTGCAAATGTTGCTACTCAAACCTGAATCTAAATCATTTATATATATTATAAACAACAGAGGTCCCAGGACAGAGCCTTGAGGCACTCCACTTACAACATTTTCCCACTCTGACTTGATTCCATTTATACTAACTCTCTGTTTCCTTTGGTATAGCCATGCCCTAATCCAGCTTAATATAGCACCCCCAATACCATGAGACTCTATTTTTTTAATCAGTCTTTCATGTGGCACTGTATCAAAAGCTTTGCTAAAGTCAAAGCAATTAAATGTTAATGACCATTAAGACCATTAAATGTTAATGGTCTTAACATTTAAAATTGCCTTTGCAATTTGACAGTACTGTAGACCAGACCTAAATACAGATGAAATGAGCACCCAAATATCGGTCCATAGAATTACCCAAATCAGCCCAAATCGGCCCAAAACTACACAAATCGTCCTAGCATTACGTAAGTAATGAAGAAATATGGTATATTTACTTATTATAATGTTGGTGCTACACGTAGAACATGATCAAACCTATTTTTACTCTGAAATAATCTAATTTCATAACGAAATGAGACGTAAATATGAGAGAGGTGACGCCATAGGAAGTCGACGGTCCAAGCGACAATTGTGTGGAGCGACTTATCCAAGATATATGGTCGCCTGGAGAGTGTTTGCTGCCATATCAGCCTCCTGTACACAGTGATCCAGTCCTTTTCGTTCATTGAACACCGAACCCTACACGCCCTCTGATATATTGCTTAATTAACAAATACTCACAAATAAAGATTATATTTGTATATGTTATCAGAAAGGCAGATATAAAATAGTTTTTGTGAATCCATCACAGAGATTATACCTTATTAGAGAAATTTAATTTCTTTAATTAGAAATTAGAAATTAGAAATTTAATAATTAAATTTACAAAATTTAAAGTAAAACTAGATTATGTAAAACTAGATTAAAGTAAATTTATGTTTCTATCTTTCTTGAGACGTATAAAAATCTTACGTTTATTAACGATTCTGCGTGAAATAAGCATTGTTCTGAGATGATACAGTCTCCGTGGTGTAGTGGTAAGACACTCGCCTGGCGTTCCGTGAGCGCTATGTCATGGGTTCGTATCCTGGCCGGGGAGGATTTACTGGGCGCAATTCCTTAACTGTAGCCTCTGCTTAACGCAACAGTAAAATATGTACAGTACTTGGATGAAAAAACGATTCTTCGCGGCAGGGGATCGTATTCCAGGGACCTGCCCGAAACGCTACGCGTACTAGTGGCTGTACAAGAATGTAACAACTCTTGTATATATCTCAAAAAAAAAAAAATGAATATTGCGGATTTCCGGCTCTACGACTGATGAAAAATGCAACTTTTATACAACTACAAATATCTTTAGTTTTACTTTAAATTTTGTCCTGAAAGAGTTTTCATATATAGATCTAGTTTCTGCCGTTCTTCTGACATAAAAAGACCTTTGGTTTAATAAGTTATTAAGATGTTTTCAACAATATTACTAGGACGTTCACCGATTCCAACATGGGCGACCCTTTTGGAAACGCATGGAAACGCAACACTTGGGTTGACCCGATTGACAGACTGGTTATATTCCAACAGGGTCTGAGACATTTGCACTGGCGGGCGGCGTTCTTGCCAACTATATGGCTGTTAAGTTGAAAATTGTAACTGTTAAGAGCATTCTATTGTGGCAAAGCGAAACGCTTTGCGTCTGCCAGAAACGCTTTGCGTAATAGTGGCTTTAGGCATTGTATGTACTAGCTCTATCTATAAAGCCAACAAACTTTGTAAAATCTCTTTATGTATGTACCTTACCTAAATAAAAATTATTATTATTATTATTATTATGTTTTAATATTGAACAATTATACATATACGAAACAGACAAATCTGGTGTCCGAAATAGTAAAAATATTAGTGTGCGATGTGATCAATGTAAGGGGGATATTGGGTGTGCCTCGTATCCCCTACAACAACAAGAAGTTTGAGAGCGATTAGGCCGCCACCTACTAGCTTCAGGATGTCGTCGAATCTAAATCAACAATATACTACCGCCGCTACTTTCTCGGAAACGTTAGTACCTGCCGCTTTACTTCTCTCACCCTGCCTAGCCTGGCCTGGCCTGACCTGGCCTAGCCAGACCTGACCAGACCTGACCTGGCCTAGCCTTACCTA